TTGGTGGTGAGTATACACTTGATTCCCTATGCCATTTCCAAACAACTTGGGCTAGGTGAGCCTAACTCTACAACTACGCGTCTTCTCATGGCCGATTTCTCTATCAAGTGCCCTATTGGCATCCTTTATGACATTTTGGTGAAGGTAGACAAATTTATTTTTTCGGCTGATTTTGTGATCCTAGATTGTGAGATTGATGTCGAGGTCCCTATTGTTCTTTGTAGACTATTCTTGGCTACCGAAAGAGCCCTTACTGGTGTGGAAAGTGGTGAACTGAAATTCTGAGTAAATGGTGAGGAAGCTACATTCAATGTTTGTAAATCGATGAAGCAACCAAGTGACCTCCATGTTATGTCGATCATTGACGTGATTGATGAAACGGTTGCTAGTGTGGGTGAAGTTTCTTGTGTTGGTGAGTCTTTAGACACCGTGCTTTTGAATTATGATGGGGAGGAAATTCAAGATTATGATGAGGTAGTGGATGCTCTATCGGGTTTAGGTTCCTATTCTAAGAACCCGTTGAAGCTTGATATCAATTTGAAAAATTGGAAAAGTCCTCATGTAAAGCCATCCATTAAAGAGCCACCAAAGCTTGTATTGAAGGTACTTCCACCTCACCTTCGTTATGTGTTCTTGGGAGCCAATAGAGCTTTACCTGTGATTATTGCTGCAGATTTGCTTAAATGGCAAACGGATGCCCTTGTTAGTGTGTTGAAAAGATTTATCAAGGCTATTGGGTGGATGATTGCCGACATTATGGGAATTCCTCTCGGTATTTGTACCCACAAGATTCAATTGGCCAGTGATTGTAAGCCAACTGTTCAACATCGAAGGAGGTTGAATCCTCCAATGCAAGAAGTTTGAAATGACCCAAAATGTTCTTAAAAATGTGCTTCGGAAGTTACCGGAAACTTGTTTAGCTATATATAAAAAAAATCCGTTTCGTTTTTCAAAAATCCGACTTCATATTCTTGTTTAGGGGGTCAAATTGAGTGGGAAATGGGTCTAACCCAAATTTTAGAGCAATCGTATCAAAATCCGAAATTTCCAAGTGAAGCCTTTTTCGAGGGTCTACTTTGGAGGGTCATATCTCCTAGCACACAAATTATTGGGTGGCCAATAACATATCCATGGAAAGCCCTTTGAGTTAGCTACCTAACGCACTTCGTTTCACCTCATTCGGAGTTCGGACGAAGAAGTTATGCCCATTTTCGTAAAATCTGTCCGGCAGGAAAGGCAATTTCCAGTGAGCGTTTTTACTGTTCACCCGCCTCATTTTTTTTCTAAGTGTTGGACCATTTTTCCAAAGGGCATATGTTATTTCCTATATACCATTAGTTCAATTCCCATCTCTAAAACATTTCCCAAAACACCTCTCCCATACTTAGACACATTTTCTCTCAAGTTCTCTCAAGAACCCTAATCCAAAACCTTCCTCAAGATTGAAGAGACTCTTGCTCCAAGTTCCAAGCTTCCATTGAAGATACTCTCAAGACCTTCATAAAAACTCAAGGTATGTGGTGTTGAACTCATGGGTCCTTCCACCCATAGTGCCTAGACTCTATTCTACTCACTAATTCATGGTTTAAGTTAAGATTCATAAATTAGTCTTGTTCTTTGTAATAATTTCCTGCACATTGAATTTTAAACATGAAAAGTGATTGTTTTGAGCATGTTGTGACTCTAGAACTTGAACCTAAATTTGGAATGGATGTGGAGATTTTCATGTGGTATTGTGGGTGTTAAAAAGGTGTTGTTGTAGGTTGTTCACTGGTTTGGCTGCATAATTACTACCCTATTTTCCATGCTCTTTGATTCCATTACATGCCTTCAAGGTGTTTGACAAAATGTCCAACTATAGAGAATTGATGAATCGATGCTTTAAAGCTTGAGCTATGAGATGTATGGAAATCCAGTGATGTGTTGATGACAAACTAAGCTTGTGTATATGTTCATTCCATACGTGAGATTGCATTAGAGCCTAATGGGAATTTCCTATATAAAGTGTTGCATGACCATGCCCGGTCCGGGGGAAAAGAACCGGACAACCATGTGAGAGGTTTATATCTCACCACCTAGGATGCTTGGGGTGTGACCAACATCAACCATGTGAGAGGTTTATATCTCACCACCTAGGATGCTTGGGGTGTGACCAACATCAACTATGTGAGGGGTTTATACCTTGCCACCAGGGTGTCCGGGTGTGAACGACATCCCCCATCCTAAGTTGGGGTTATAGATTGGTTGGATCATGCATACACATATGATATCTACTATTAGTATAGATTTACTTAAACATGTTTTGACTTCACTTTGATCATGCATCCTCATATTGTTATTCATAATGCCTATGAAACTATTTCTTGTATTTCGATTGTGTCCTTGTCTATTGTTGTGTTGCACCCCGCATACTTAGTACATTCCAAGTACTAACACATATTTTGCCTACATGATGTCACCATGTAGGGACCGGAGCTACTCTTGATCCTTCTCTCCATTCACGTGGCTAGTACGGTGCTTATCCGAGTTGTTGGTGAGTCCTCAATGATTCGAGGGCTATGTTATGTTTCCTACTCCTATCTTTTGAGACTTTAGCTTGCAATTGTATTTTGATTATGAGGGGAGCCGGTAGTATGTCATGGCCCCGTCCTATCTATGTATGTAGAGGTGTGCGTTGGACAAGTATTTTGTAAATGAGCTTGACTCTTGTTCTATGATGTCATTTTGAAATGGTTTGCCCTTAGTCCCTATTTCCCGTTAATTAATGTTGAATGTACTTCCGCGACCGATGAAGTGTGATGACAAGTTTGAGAGGCTTGTTTGGGGTTCCTTCGGGTTCCTCATTCGCCATGTCACGTCTAGGCCCTAGGCTTGGGTCGTGACAAAGTTGTCAAGAAAAAGATTATTAAGTGGCTTGATGCGGGAGTTGTCTAGCCTATTGCGGATAGGAAGTGGGTTATCCCCGTCCAATGCGTTCCAAAAAAATGTGGTATGACTGTGGTGCCAAATGAAAAAGGTGAGCTTATGAAAATGCGACCGGTTATTGATTGGCGTGTATGTATGTATTATCAAAACTTGAATGCGTGGATCGAGAATGATCATTTTCTGATGCCCTTTAAAGATCAGATGCTTGATGGACTTGTGGTTCGTGGATGGTATTACTTCTTGGATGGTTACCCTGCTTATAATCAGATCTCCATTGCATTGGAGGATCAAGAAAATACAACTTTCACATGTCCCTATGGGATGTTTGCTTTCAAAAGAATGCCCTTCAGATTGTGTAATGCACCGACGACGTTTCAAATGTGTATGCTCTCTATTTTTTCTGATATGATAGAGGATTCAATGGAAGTCTTCATGGATGCGTTTTTGGTTATGGAAGAAACATTTGAAGCTTGCCTTGAGCACCTTTATAGAGTCTTGCAAAGATGTGTCGAAACAAACCTTGTTTTCAATTATGAGAAATGTCACTTCATGGTCAAGAAAGGTATTTTATTGGGGCACAAAATTTCGGGAGATGGTATACAAGTTGATCAAGATAAAGTTGAACTTATCACTAAGTTGCCTTCTCCTATTTTGGTTAAAGGTTTTAGAAGCTTCTTGGGTCATGTTGGTTTCTACCAGAGGTTCATAAATGATTTTTTTAGGGTGGCTTATCTTCTTTGTAAGCTACTTGAAAAGGAAAGTTTCTTCAAGTTTTATGAAGCTCATGTCAAGGCGTTTTTGTGTTGAAAAGAGAAGCTCGTTTTGGATCATATCATTGTTGCTCTGGATTGGAACATTCCATTTGAGCTAAAGTGTGATGCAATCAGTGTGGCTTTGGGGGCTGTACCTGGCCAACATAAGGGAAATTTGTTTCACCCGATCTATTATGCAAGCAAAACCTTGAATGTAGATCAAAAGAACTACACCATCACTGAGCAAGAGTTGTTAGCCGTGGTGTATGCTTTTGAGAAGTTTAGAGCCTATCTTTTGGGGACCAAGGTGCTGGTACACACCTACCATGCTGCTATACGTTACTTGGCTAAGAAGGATGCAAATCCAAGGTTGATCTGATGGGTGTTATTATTGCCAAACTTTGATATTGAAGTCAAAGATCAAAAGGGGTATGAGAACCAAGTAACAGACCATTTGTCGAGGTTGGAATCGAATGTGGTTATTTTTGGTGAAAAAGATATTGAGGAAGAATTTCCCAAAGAGCCGGTGATAGTTGTGTCGAATGGTACTGTTCCTTGGTTTTCTGATTTTGCCAATCATGTGGTGTGTGGGATTCTTCTTGATGGGCTGATTTTTTACCGACGGAATAGGTTCCTTTTTTATGCGAAGAAGTATTTTTGGGATGAGCCTTACCTATTTTGGGAGTGTGCTGATCATATGATCATAAGATGTATTCTAGAAGTTGAGGTAGATGCTATTTTTGACGCTTGCCATGAGTCATCGGTTGGTGGGCACCATAGTGGAGTGCATCCAATGGCTAAGGTACTATAAAGTGGTTACTATTGGCCAACGTTGTATCAAAATGTGAATTATCTTGTTAAGCAGTGTGTACAATGTCAAAAGCAAGGAGGAGTGTCGCGAAGGCATGAATTACCTGTCACTCCTATTTTAGAGGTTAAGTTGTTGATGTACGGGGAATCGATTTCATGAGGCCTTTTGTGAGTTCTTATGGGAACAAATACATCTTGGTAGTTGTTGATTATGTCTCTAAATGGGTAGAGGCAATGGCCTTACCTAATAATGAAGGGAGAAGTGTGGTGAAATTCCTTTAGCGGTACATTTTCACGAGATTTGGCACTCCACGTGCAATCATTAGTGTTGGGGGATCTCATTTCTGTAACCGAATGTTCACATCATTGTTGAGAAAGTTTGGAGTCAAGCATAAGGTTGCCACTCCTTATCATCCACAAACAAGTGGCAAGTAGAGGTGTCCAATTGGGAAATCAAATAAAATTTGGGCAAGACCGTTATTGCAAACCGAACCGATTGGTGTCTGAAGTTAGATGACGCTCTTTGGGCATATATATAGAAGTGCATTCAAGATCTCGATTGGTATGTTCCCGTATCAATTGGTGCTTGGTAAATCTTGTCATCTACTGGTTGAACTTGAGCATAAGGCTTTGTGGGCCTTGAAAGTCATGAACTTGAATTGGGAAGATGCGTCGAAGTATCAAGTAGACCAACTCAATGCTTTGGAAGAGTTTTGGCTTCGAGCTTATGAGAGCTCAACCCTTTATAAGGAAAAACTGAAGAAATGGCATGATGCAAAAATCCTTCATCGAGAGTTTAAAGTTGGTGATATCGTGCTGATTTACAACTCTCGTTTGAGATAAGGCTTCAACCTTTGCCCATTCACCTTGAACATCGACCTATCCTCGTTTTCAACTTCTATTACCCCGTTTTCAAACACACGATTTACTTTGAACGGACCCGACCATTTTGACTTGAGTTTTGCCGGAAAAAGTCTCAGATGAGAGTTGTAAAGCAGCACGAGATCACAACCTTTAAACTCTCGAAGAAGGATTTTTTCATCATGCCATTCCTTCATTTTCCTTATAATGGGCCGAGCTCTCATAAGCTCGAAACCAAAACTCTTCCAAAGCATGGAGTAGGTCAATGCGATCCTTTGATGCATCCTCCCTATTTAACTTCATGACTTTCAAGACCCAGAAAACGTTATGCTTAAGTTTAACCAGTAGATGACAAGACTTTCCAAACACCAATTGATTCGGGGACATATCAATTGGGGTCTTGAAAGCAGTTCTATATGCCCAAAGAGCGTCATATAACTTTCGGTACCAATCGGTTCGATTAGCATTAACGGTCTTGGTAAAAATTCCTTTGGTTTCCCAGTTTGACACGTCAACTTTCCCACTTGTTTGCGGATGATAAGGGGTGGAAACCTTATGCTTGACTCCATGCTTTCTCAACAATGATGCGGACATTCAGTTATATAAATGAGAGTCCCCATCCCTAATGATTGCACATGGAGTGCCAAATCTCATGAAAACGTACCGCTTGAGGAATTTCACCACACTCGTCCCTTCATTATTAGGTAAGGCCACGGCCTTTACCTATTTAGAGACATAATCAACAGCCACCAAGATGTATTTGTTCCCATAAGAACTTACAAAAAGCCTAATGAAATTGAATTCCCATACATCAAACAACTCAACCTCTAAAATAGGAGTGAGAGGTAATTCATGCCTTTGCGACACTCCTCCTTCCTTTTGACATTGTACACACTTCATAACAAGATAATTCACATCTTGATACAATGTTGGCCAATAATAACCACTTTGTAGTGCTTGATACAACGTTGGCCAAGAGAATTCACATCTTGATACAACGTTCGCCAATAATTACCACTTTGCAAACAGGGCAATAAAAGTTGAAAACAAGGATTGGTCTATGTTCAAGGTGAATGTGAAAAGGTGAAACCAATTTCCCTTACGTTGGCCAAGTACAACCCCCAAAGTCACACTACTTGCATCACACATTAGCTAAAATAGAATGCTCCAATCTGGAGCAACAATGAGAGGACCCTTACTCTCTCTCTATTTTATTTTCAGTTGCTATTTTCAGTTCTTTTTAGCATTGAGGACATTGCTAGTTTCTTTTTGGTGGGGGTGAAGGTACCTAGCTACCTAACCATTTGGTTGTATTTTGCTATTTTGAGATAGTTTGTTGATACACTCAAATTACACCTCCTTAAAGAAGCATAAGCGATTGTTACCCAGTAAAGAACCCAACTTGGAGGTTGGGGTCGATCCCATGAGGAATATGGTCTAGACTTAAGTTCAGCTTACGATTATATTCGTTTAGTCAACGTACTTCCGAAACAAATAATTAAAAGTGGGGGATTTGTGAAACAAATTCTGAAAGTTATGTGAACAATTAGTAAGCAAGATTCAAACTTTTGTTGTTATCAAGATGAGAGAGAAACTATGATGTATGTGTTCCCCATAAGCTCATAACGCGGTAATCCTAGTAATAGTAATCCTTTCCTAGTATATTACATGCAAAGTGATAAGTTAAGTATCTGTAATTCCTTGGTCTGGCAACTAGAGAATTTCACCCCGCACCTTGGTTCGGCTACGTATGTATAATTTACTAACCCTTACCTTTACCTCATATTAGACATCACATCGATGTATGGCTTACTTTTCACCCTCGCACCAACCGACATTAGACTATTACATAGTATCACACTAAATCTATGTTGATAATTCTTTTCTTATTAACTACCTCCTTGGTCCGACAAGTAGCAACAAGGCGAGTTCTAACGCGTGCACTCGTTAGAAAGACTTCTAAATGAAATAATTATCAATGCATGCAATAACACTATTCAATAACTACTTAATTACTATTCATACTTTGTTAATCACTCATGGTTCCCACAACCCTAGTTGTGGATTTAGTTATCCACAGTAGCAAGAACATAATTCATAATTTTAGATGAAGAAATCATGAACTTACGTAATGAGAAGAATAATCCCAGAATCTTAACTTGAATTTAAAAGTCAAAATTTTGAAAACGAACTTAGGAAATCAAGAATTGCTAAAATTGCAAGTTAATCTTCAAAGCCAAAAACTAGAACTAAAGTAATAAAGTCTAACCCCCAAAAAATGAGGTTTACATGCCATATATATAGAAAAACAAGTCCTAACTAAAAAGGAAATGAAATAAGGAAATAATGTTTCCGGACGCGGTTTCAATCTACGACACTGACCTACGGACTGTGGATTGATCTATGGTCCGTAGGTCCCCTCCGTGGCTCAGGACTTAGTCAATTTTACAATCTTCAAAATCTCCATTTCTTTGACTCAATCGACGAATCACCAGTACGGACCGTGGATTGATCTACGGTCCGTGGATCCTCCTCCGTAGATCCATACTTAGAATCTTCAAAATCAGGTACTGGAACCCCCTCTCTGAACGATTTGACGAAACTGCAGTACAGCCCATAGATCAATCTACGGTCCGTCGTTTGCAACTGTGGTTCCACACTTAGTCAAGAATTCCCTGATCTCCTTCAAGCCTTGTTTGTCCATCTACGTCAACCATCTACGGAGCGTGAATGGACCTACGGTCTGTAGATCACCTTTGTAGATTTCCTTTTCTGCACAACCTTCAGCTGTCTCTCAATTTCCTCGTCTGAACATATTTCCTGCAAACATGATAAAAATGCATTAAAACCAATACAAAATGGCAACACACAACTCTTAAGTGAAATGTATTAAAAATACCGTAACTTCACAGTATATCATTTGTTATTTTCATTTGGGTTGTAATTATAACTTCTTCATTTTGTTGTAGTAGTATAATGATATGTTAAATATGATTCATTAGCCTCCCTCTTAATTGCTAAAAGTGAATGTTGGTTAATGTTCCCTTGTACATTTGAGCGTCGGTTGTGATAAATATCGATGACTTAAATAGTTCGATGAATGATATGTTTGTGCGAATCTAGTGAGGTAATTTGAGTTACATAAGTCTTGTGTGAACTCTTAGCATCTCATTGTGACTAGTCGAATATCAAGTGTGAATCTTGTAATGACCGTTGCACGCGAGCTTAACTTGTAAGGTTATGATCAATGATTGTGTTTGGATGCTATGTATGGTGAGGTTTACTTGAAAAGTGTGTATGAGGATACCTTGAACTTACCCCGTTGGTCCAATTGATTAGCATTGGTGAATGAAAGAAATAATCTTAGGCATGAATTTTGAGAGTGAACCTAATTGCTATACCTTTGTGTTACCACCTTGTGAGTGTGTGAATCTAGCTTGGCACCATTTTAGCCTAACCTTTTCTTTGGATGAAACATGAGCACAAATGTTTAAAGCGGTTGTTGAAATTGTCGTGTCCTTCCCACCTATAACCTTCGTGAAGCATTGGTTTTTTTGAATACCCAACTAAGGCCAAAAGCATAAGTTGTGTGTGCGGTAAAAATGAGGAAAGAAACCGAGAAAGAAGTTTGTGAAATTCATCCTTGGAAACATGTGGTGAAAAAGATGGAACCCCCTATATAAAAAAAAAGATAAGAAAGAAAAGCAATGAATGATATGTATATTTTGTGCATTGTTGTGGAAATAAAAGGGGTGTCCAATGAGCTATACCAAAATTTTTGTGTTCTATGAATAGGTCAAGAATGAGTTGTGAATATGAAAAGAATCACAGAAAAGGAAAAGAAGTGAAATTTGAGCCATGCTTCATGAAGGTAGAGTCACTAAACCCAAATGATCATACCCTTACCCTCAACCTAATTATAAGCTTTGAAACACCTTTGTGATCTTGGATAAGCCAAGTGCGTTTGGAAAATACGGGCAAGCCTATGGGTAGAATCATGCTCATTGGGAGTGTGAGAGTTGATTTTGATTCCTTAATTTTTGTCTTTGATTTGCTTTGTGAGAGCATGGAATCATTCTTGATGTGAGGGCATTCAAATACTTTTGTTGGGCATAAATTTGCATTTGAAGTGAGCATTTGTGAGCATTAACTCTAATCGATGATGGCTAGTCATAGTTTGAAGCTTCGAGTGCACAATTGAACGTTGCAGTTTAGATTGAACTTTATATGCACTTTCATGTTGATTCTCAAGGAGCAGTGCTTGTAGACACCCCTGTTGACCTGATTAATCTCATGTTTTACTTGACAACAAGCAAAAATTTAAGTTGGGGTGTTGATGAGCCAGGAGTTTTAACTCATTTAGGGTTTGTTATTTCATGAATTAGTGTCCTCAATGCTTATTTTGTGTTCATAACTGATGTTAAATTGTTTGTGTGTAGCCATGAAGGCTTAAGAACAAGGAAAGGACATTACATTTGAAAAGAAGCAAAAAAGTTGGTAGAGTTGAGGAAAAGGAAGGCTAGAGCTCGCAAAAATCACTCGGCGACTCGCCAAGTGAGTGTCTATCTCATCAAATGATCCAGCAAGTTTGGCTCATAAATCAAACCATTTTGGAGAACTCAAGTGCAAAATGATGTATTGCCGAATGAATTGGAGAGCTCGACTCAGATCGCCTAAATGATCAAAACAACTACAAAAGAAAGTCAAGTCCAATCGGTGAAAAATGATCCAAACGGCGAGTCGCCAAAGTCATTCGGTGACGTCCATCGTGTTTGCCAACTGGAAAGTCAAGATTTAAAAAGCTGAAGCAAAAATTTGGCGATAAGGCCTGCCCATCAACGGATCATTGAGTCATTCAGCGAACCCAACTAATATTGCCGATTTGGCCTTGAGGCGAAATCTTAGGAAGTTTTTTGAAACATATAAATTGGTTTTTGAGGAGAGAGAAAAGTGATTTTTGGGAGACTATTTTTATTCTTTGA